AAAGCTAAAAAACGACACCGTGTGGGCTTCATATATTAACAAAAACCATGTGATGCAATGAAGAACAAATATTTAGGTGGTCGGCATAATTGATAATGCTTAAAAATATGGTGTCCACTGCAGGGCACCATATTGGTTCTTGCAAGTGGTTGTACTTTGGGACAGCTAAAATCATCAAAAGCATGATTATGATCAGATATAGAAGATAAATTTCCTTGAAGTAATCACTTTTGATCTGCAATCATACGCGACAGGTAAACCTACATGTTCGGTCAAGATGCTAATAATCGGCCTAATAGATTTTCTTGACTCAGATTTCCATTGGAGAATCAAATTTTCTACAACAAAGTAATGATGTTCCTACTATGTTAAATCTTCTACCAGAAGTTTCTGCGATAGGTGTAGTTAATGCAGCAGCATGTTGGACTATGCTGTTTTTATCTAAGGCAGCGAAATAAGTGTGAGAATAATTATACTTTATAAATTACAGTGCGATCAAACTTCAAGTGTCGCCGATCATGGAGTACACAAAACGCTGTCTACACGAGACTTTTATACATACAATTGTATAAAGTTTTACAAAGATGCTGATTTTACTCAATAACCCCAAACAATGCTTGCTGATTTGTATGCCCCTGGTGGAAAGAGATGGTGATATGCAGCAAGCAGTAACAAAAGACATCAGCAAGTGATTCTAGATCTTTCTCTGCACCACGTTCGATACATACCTATGTACTCCATAAAGGAGGCATCACATGGCACTATGATAGGCCCATCAATCTGCAATCCAAACTCTCTTGAGAAAGTTTTAATAGTTCTCTGAAATCTTGTATTAAGATATTCCAAGGGAATCAACAAAGCGTTTCTGATCAGAAGGGTAGACAACAAAATGGCCCTTATGAGTAGGCGAAGATGCGGTACAACCATCACAGACTTCAATTCTAGGCAGAGAAATTCGCTTCCTTGTGATGGCAGCAAAATTTTGCCCACTTCCTTTCCTCTTGGAGAGCTTCTTGGAACAAATCATGCTAGACATAATTTAGAGGGAGCCATGGAAACAGGATTTTTTCGCGAGGGTGGAGTGAAAACGGTTGAGGCATTGTAGTTTATACACAGAGTGCTGAAGACGTTCCACTTGTTTGAGCTTTTTACAAGAAAACTTCAACTGTATTATCTGGTGAAAACAACTGTAATTTTGTCCTGCTATCGCTTGGAAATCTTGAACAAAGTTGAATGGCAGCCCATAGAAATTTTTCCTCACCAGTTTGGCCTAATGACATTCCAAAGACCAGGTTCTTAGCAATTCACCAAGTGCAAAATTGTACTGACACATGAACCAAAGAAACAAACCAAGTCAATAACAGAATCACTAAGTCACTCTATAAACAAAGTACCCATTTCCTTTAAAAAGACAAAACCCCTCAAATATAACTACCTCGGGACTAAAATATTACAAATTAGAGCATTGTACGGTCCAGTGTATTATTCCTGTGTTTTGCTTGCAAACAAACAGAAAGGCAAGCCTCCAAGAATCTAATTAACATTTTCAAAGACTTGGCAGCTTAGCAATCCCCCAGGCGCAAATGTACTGAACACGAAGGAACAAAGAAAGTCAATAACAGAACCACTAAGTTACAACATAAATCAAAGTACCCATGTTTGTCCTTTAAAAAGACAAAACACCTCAAATATAACTACGAGGACAAGTATACTACAATTTAGAGGATTGAACCTAAGAGTAAGGTTTATGATATTTTTCTCCCTTGCCGGTAACTAACTGAAAGTTCAGTCTCCAAAGATACTTTAATTAACTTTTAGACAATAGGATTGAACGAACGACGGATATGAATCTTAATTTTATTCCCTTGTTTGGTTCATAGGAGCTGCATAAGAAATAAGAATCTTATTCCTTAAAAAAGGGTGGATTGTTTAGGAGGAATGCCATCCATTACTAGTAATGGATGGCTAAAATGTCTAATTTACCTAGATCTTTAAATTGTGATTTTCCATTTTAAAATAAATCAATTTATTTAAATTTAAATTATTTTATAAAATTCAATAATTATTTTATTACAATATTAATGATTAAATATTTCAATATTTTCAAAAACAATTCAAAATTTGCAAAAATTTTAAACCAGTCAACACTAATCAAATTCGCCAAATGGTGAATTTATGTCTCGCTGCTAGCATCATTGCAAGCACTTGAGCAATCACCAAATTTGCCTATCTAGGGATATTTCAGCCGTCGAAATCTGGCACCGTGATGAAAGGCCACCATGCGTGATGTCACACCACCGATTTTTGACAGCCAAAATTTGCCCAAATAGGCAGATCAATGGCTTTTGGTTCTCCACGCACCGATGATGATGTTTGAAGCGGAGGGCAAATTTGTCAGCCCGCGAGTTTGCCTGACTAGTTCGAAAACTTTTTGAAATCTTTTTAATTTTAAAATATTCTTAATTTTTTTATTAAAGAAATAAAAAATTATATTTATTAAAAAAAATTAAGGGAATTTTAGTCCAAAAGCAACAAATTGTTTTCCATTCCATCAATATTCTTTATTACAAGCAAACAAAGTAATGTCATTCTATTCATTTATAATACTTTCATTTTATTGATTTTCATTTATGATACTTTCATTCCATCAATTTCTAATCCACAAACCAAACATGGCCTAAGTTTAATGTAATAACTCCATTCTACTCATATTCTTTTAAAATATATATAGTAAAAATACATGTAAGATAGCATAAAAAGTTGGGCCCAAATTTTTTCTTTTATTAAACATATACATTCTTTATACAAAATTCTTATCATGTACAAAACTATCAAAAACAAGGTGGACAGTGTAGCCATTTCCCAGTCGCTTGCCGACGCCTATCCGACTGTATCCTCACCTAAATCCTGCAAAAATATAGGAAACAACGGGGTGAGCACAACTGATGCTCAGTAAGTAAATTCTCTACTCATCTATCCCCTTAACTCTCTCTCTAATTCTTTCCTTACAATTCTTATTTACTCTCTCTTTTATACCTCTCTCTATTTTCTCTTTCTCTGAATTCTTTTCTACTAACTCTNTCATTTTAATATAATATAAACGTGAAATAAACTATTTTTATTTCAAAAAAATATGTTTAAAACGAAAAATATATCAAGAGAAAATTATGATATGTATAATTGATCGTGCACTATGGCTTGTCGCGCGATCGCAACAATAGTGGAGATGGCAGACTGGTGAGATGGGGTCAGCAATAGGTGGACGATATGGTGTGGATGAGTCATGGCGACGTGGATGATTGATGGCAATGTGGACTGCTAAAGGTTGTGCGGCGCGAAGAAGAAATCGGGATCTAGAAAGGCAAAGGCGATGAAATCAAGCCAAAAAGGCGTGAATCGACGTTTGGGCAATGTTTCCATGATTCTTGGTGCAAATATGTCGAAAAACAGCAAAAATGGCCGATAGAGTTGATTGGTTCTCTGACCTAATGGTGGAATCGACGATCGGCATTTTTTTTGACGATTTAACCTTGGGTCAAATCCGGCAGAATTGCTATAACCAAGTTTAGGATGTACTCGGACCGAATAAGAGTTCAATTCCCAGTCGCATGGGCCGGTCTGAGTTTTAAAACAATGGGTGGAACCTGCGGAACCCATCCCATTTGCATATGTTATTATCACAGGGCCTAAATTCCCATCTAGGCTTTGTGCAGCACAAGCACATCAATTGCTTGTAAGCCTTCCTAAACGTGTGTATCCCTGTTACAATTTATAGCAACAATAGTGAAGAGAGGCTACCAAAGTATAAAGACAAGAATCTGCAGGAAAAACTCCCAACCTATATTGATTATACATAATACAAGGATTACATGAATGCCCACACACAGAGTGTTTCCCCACTATTATAATCTGATTCCCAAACTCACAGATTACAACACTCAAGTTTATAACTTTGACATACATACACACATAACACTCGTCTCTCACTGAATAGACAACTTGCTTGCCTTAGATTAATATTGGCAAGGAAGTTATATAAACAGTTACAAACTTCAATGGTTACCAAGCACTTGGGTATAACTACAACAAAAATGGCCTACGGTAACATGCAAAAAGTGTTACTGTGGGTAATTCGTAGCATTTATAAGGATGCTATGACAATCTATGTTACTAAAAATCGGACATTGGTAACACTTTTTGCATGTTACTAATCATTTCAGTAACTATCATAAAATGCTGTTGTTAAGTATATTGTAGCACTTATTCGTAGTTACGAATGATTTTTTGTAACACTGCATAAATGCTATAAATAAGTTTTCTGTAATATTTTTAACCTATTACAGTTTAGTTTTCTGTAACATTCTCAAAATGCTATAAATAAGTTTTTTGTTCTGTAACATTCTTAACCTGTTACAGTTTAGTTTATTGTAACATTCTCAAAATGCTATAAATAAATTTTCTGTAACTTTCTTAACATGTTACAATTTAGTTTTCTGTAACATTCTCAAAATGCTATAAATAAGTTTTCTGTAACTTTCTTAACCTGTTACAGTTTAGTTTTCTGTAATATCTCAAAATGTTATAAGTAAGTTTTTTATAACATTTTTAACCTGTTACAGTTTTCTGTAACATTGTTAAAATGCTATAGAAGAGTTTTTAATAACATATTAAAAGTGCTACCAAAGTATCATGCATTGCATTTAGTAAATGTTACAAAATTATTTTTCATAACATTTTGAAAGTGTTATCAATGTGTCTGTAATAGCATATATAAAATTGTTATAGTTGTTATTTAAATAATACAAATTATAAACAATGATACACTAATTTTCCAAAAAAACATTTCATCGATGGTGAACCTTCATATACAAAAAGTTTGCATATATGCCTAATAAATAGGCACCCAACATCCCTTACATCCATAAAATCTAATATGCTTCACATATCATATCACATTTTGTAACATATAAACCTTCATATACAAAAAGTTTTATATATGCCTAACAAATATGCACCTATCATTTTTACATTATAATACCTAGATGATTGGAAAATTAACTATGAGCAATAGTTAATACCTTCCAATCATTCAAAAAATTCTAACAACAAAAACCATCATGCATACCATCTTCCATTCCAAATTGTGCTTTACCTAAAAAGTACTCTTGTATTTTCACAACCTACAAAACCATTAAAACAAAAAGAAATCTTCAATTCCCATGTATATTCTCAAAGATGACAACACATATATATTGTAAATTCAAGAAAAGATTAAGACAAAAACACCCCAAATATTTAATGCAAAAGAAAGAGGAGAAGAACATGTTTAAATCTTCAACTTCACGATCACTAGTTCTAAAAAACGGCACTATGTAAGTTTAAAAGAACATGTTTAAATATTCAACTTCACAATCACTAGTGCAAAAATGTCAACTGTAATTTTACAGTTTGCAAACTGCAGTCTGTAAAATTGCAGAATGCAGTTTGCAAAATACAGATTGTAGTTTGCAAAAATGCCGACTGCAAAATTGCAAACTAGAGTCTACAATTTTGCAAACTGCAGATTGAATATTGCAGTTTGCACACCATCAAGAATCTTTCTTCACTCAATTAAATAACAAAGAACACATTATTATGTTATAATGCAAAACCTTTAAAGTTTTACAACGATAGTAGAGTGACCTACTTAGATATATTTTATGTCATGCTACACAATTTAAATAAAAATTAAAAAACAAAATATATGCTCACTATACATTAATGTCACAATTCAGCTACGGATACTATAAAATATAATATATAGGTCATATACACATGATCAGGTATATCTTAGTATATTTACGAAATTGCATCAAGCAAAGCTCTAAAAAACAGAAGACGCAACAGACCAAAAAATCCAAGATCTTTATCTGCAATTAAACATGTAACATTTAAGCTTAACACTACATAATCAAGTGACAGATAATAGACTTATGAGTAGCATTGCAATCATGACTATTCAATTATTTATAACTCCAATGCCTTAAATATTAGTAGAACACCATACCTGATCTAGTGAAAGGTGAAACACTTTACCACCAATGGTGAATGACACATTGGGCATGGAAGATAGACTGCTACACTCAACAGCCGATTCTCCATTTTGACTGGACAGTCAGTCACAAAGCTGCAATATAATCTATGGCATGAGCTTGAAGCAAGGCCACTTTTCCCCTGAATGTGAATAAGAAGGCTAATAAACCTGATTCACATAATCCAAGATTTGTTCTTCTGTCGTATTTCTCTTGAGCTGGTTTTGCATCCACACTACTGCCATCTCACAGTAGTACACATAGTGTCATGCACACCATCAGATGACTTGTCTGTGCTCTTATCTACCACGCTCTCAATGCCCATACTGTAATACATAGTTGAATCTAATGTACATTAATAACATATGTAACATAGTAGGTTCCAGAAATAGAACAATCATCACAAACAAGGGTAAAATTATATCATAACTATATTAAAATAGGGGTGAGACTGACCTAACACCTCGAGTGCCATCAAAAGTGCAAAGGCCCATTCAACTCATCAAAAAAATTTAAATAAAAAGTGTGGCAGATAACAAAACTGGACGTAGCATGCAATCTAAGCTAAAATTTCTCCTAAATGGAAGATTGGAAATGTGTTAAAAAGGTTGCAAAAGGATAATGAAACCAAAAATCAAATTTACTTAAGCTATTAGCATTTCCAATATGGTTTTTCCATATTGATCAATCATTGTCTTGCATTCTTGACTTATAACACCAGAAGCTCCAATGGCATGATTAATTTGTGTAATGACAGTCTAAAAATTCAAAGTCACATAACGATATCAATCTTCTCAGGCAGAAGGAATTCAATTTTATGAAAAATACACAAAGGTTTTTAAATTCTCAACAGCCTAATACTTTTTACATAGGTGACAAATGTATCAGACACTGACTTCAAAACCTAACACATTCTATTTAATAGGACAAAATTCCAGTAGGATTTAATTCATAGCTAATTCAAACATGACTAGAAAAAAGAACTGATGTATTTATCTAAGAAGGAAAAACTTCTAAATCATAGCTAATTCAAAACTCTGAGAGATATGTGTATGTTTGTTGACAATTAAATATGATATTGAAGTGATTGCTCACCTATTTGTCTGCTGAGCAAGAACTACCGTGATTAACATACTGCTCCTCTGCTTTTCACTACACTATATATGCTAAAAAACAATCGGCTTTTGTTTTGTTTGATGTTTCATTCGACTATTTCACAACATTTTAGGCACATTATATAGCTTTATAGCTTATAGTGGTTGATAGATGATATTGTATGCAATAATCTTTTCACCTCAGGTTCATGAAATTGCAATGGTGTCAGCAATTTAAGAAGCTCAGAAGGATAACCTTAGAAGTTTCAATGATTACATGATGAAAGTTTTGGAGGTTGGTGTAACATGATAGGCTTTTAGATTATCATTATAACTTTGTTTGTAGTTCTCTCTTCACACACACTGATACAACTATTATTTCCTATAATTGGAAAATGTTACTTTTCGTATATATTTGCTTAGAAACTAATGAAATTAGAATAATGACCAATAAAAACAAACACTTTGTTTACTATGCCAATTGTAGTTTCTTGCCTCTCTGTTTATGGAGCAACATTTAGTTGCATTCGCTCAATCAATTGTTTACTTAATATTTGCTGCCATTGCTGTGTGTATATACATGTTCACGTCGATTAATTGATAGTTGCATTCCCTCAATCAATTCTCAATGCATATTATGTAATTTGTAAACAACCAAGAAAAAAGTTTGAATCAGTCACCTTCTATAGAATTCTTTCATTTTTTCATTTAACATTCCCTCAAATCCAATAGCCAAAACACCCATCCTAACTGGAAGGTTCTCGAAAAACTCCAACAACAAAATCTTGTCATCTTCTAGCAACTCAACTTTCGTGGGCTCGAACTCCTGTTTAAAAATCCATTCAGTCATTAAAATATCAACATCTAAATATTCGTTTGTCAAAACATCACATTTAAAAAAAAAAAAAAAAAAAATATTCGTTTATCAAAACATCACATTTAAAAAAAAAAAAAAAAAAAAAAAAAAAAAAAAAAAAACAGAAATTTCAATATCTCATGTTAAAGTTGAGTTTGATAGCTGAAAAACCCTAGACAAAACAACCTGCAAATCAAAGAAATTTTGAGAAAGAAAAAAGTACAACACTGCTGCACATGAACATGTCGATGAAGTGTCTGATTTCATCTCAAATCTGCCCGAAGAGTGCTTAGCTTGCATTTTCCAGTCTCTTAGCTCCGGTGATTGCAAAAGATGCTCTCTAGTATGTTGTTGTTGGCTCAGAATCAAGGGACAGAGTTGTCACCATCTCTCCCTCAATGCCAAATCAAATCTCAAACGTGACCGTATGAAAGTTTCAAAGGATGCAGAAAGAAAAAGTAAAAGAAAACTTTGTAAAAATCTGCAAATCTGATCAGCAACCAATTGCAAAACAATTTCTGTACAGCAAAGAATTCTGGATAGCAGTAAACCACCAACTCTTCTTGGATTAAACTAACTCAGCTCTTCCAAGCAAATTTTGCAATTCTGCAAACAATTCTGCATTTCAACAGCAACCAATTCTGCACTTTGTGCAGAAAATTTTGCATTTCAACAACAAATAATTTTGCAATTTGTGTAGACAATTCTGCATTTCAACAACAGCAATCCTGCAATTCTACAATTCTACACAGCAACCAATTTTGCACTTTGTGCAGATAATTCATCATTTCAACAACAAATAATTTTGCAATTTATGCAGACAATTCTGCATTTCAACAGCAGCAATCCTGCAATTTTGCAAACAAACAATTCTACAATTCTGCACAGCAAAAAATTTCTGCAATTCTGCAGTGCAACAGCAAAAAATTCTACATTCAATTATCAATCAACCCTTCACCAACAAACAAACAATTCTGCAAATGCAATCAGCAAACAATTCTGCATTCAACAATCAATTAACTCTGAACAAAACACTTCTGAACTGCCAACTCTGAAACCTATCATACTGCAGTTAATTCTTTCTTCTGATCCGTCGGCATCGGGGACGTTGCACTTGTTTTAATATATCTCAAGTGCCGAAATCTCAGGCGCTTGAAGCTCCAAGCTTGCCGAGAGCTGACCGATGCTGGAATGTCAGTGTTTGCTAATCACAAGAAAAAGAAGATAGATTGATTAAACCCTAAAACCTTTTGCCCTAATAGCAACGAGAAGAAGATTGAGAAGAAAAGAGCAATTAGAAGATTGATTGAGAAGATTTGAGGAGAAGATTGATCGAGAAGATTTGAGAAGAAGCGCAAAATGGGTTTTCAGCAGCAGGGTTTTATCACAAAATGGGTGGGAAATCCTTTTTCTAGGGAAACAAGCAAGGGTTAAGAAAAGAAAAGGCAAACTCTGTAACTCAAATTAAAGAATTGCCTTTGATGTGAATTAGTTATGAGGGTATTAGCTAGGAAATTTTGAAATTTTGAGTTGGCACTTGGCAGTACTAAGTGTTATTTTGCCGGTTAATATTTGGGTGTATGTAAAATCCCTATTGGATCCCTACATGAATGAAAAGTGACAAAATAAGCCCAAAATAGATAGACTTGACCCCTAAACAATAAAAATGAGACAAAATCACCCTCATTTCATGTTGGTGGGAATGATATTTTTTTTCCCGGTAAATAATTGGGTTTACGGTAACACTTATAAAATGTTACTGTATTTTGATTATATGGTAACATTATAAAAAAGCTACTATATTATTAGGTCTATTGTAACACTTTAAAAATGCTATTGTAGTTTCTATATTAGTAACATTTTACAAAAAAGAGTTATCATTGATATAAAATGTGTTACAAAAAGTTGAAGTGTTACATATGAAAATTGTTATTGTAACATTTTAACATCAAGTGTTACCATAGATAGTTTACAGTAACACTTTAAGGAAAAGTGTTACTGTCCAGTGTTACCATAGGTCATTTTTGTTGTAGTTGCATAAATATACATGTTTCATCTAAACATATATAGTTGTCCCTCAGTCTTGTTTAAGCAGCTATCCAACTTTGCCTCAGCATTCCATCAGCTTGGCATATTTCCTCATGCACACCCATACACTTTGTTGCTTGCCTCATGTGTTTACTCAACTGCTTATTACTCATATTACCCTCTTGTGCATGTCCTAGCTCATGCACTGCTTGATCTACTCATGGATGCCTCAACACCTATGCCGACACATGTATATGGTTGCAAGTGCTCCCTCTCGCAAGTCTATCTGTCTATGTGCTTGTCATCCTCCATCAGTGTGTGTTTGGCACCCCAATGCCCAAACACCTCAAAATTGGCAGCTCACTTACTGCTGCCTCGTGTCCTTGCTTAGGGCACACCACCCATCCTCGTATTGCATGCTCCCATGCACTATCTAGGCAAAGGTACATCCAAGGATGAAAGCTGCCTACCAGCCCATGCCTACGACACTCTTTAAAGGTCTAACATACCACCCCCACCAAAAGAACCAGATGTCCTCGTCAAAATGGTGGAAATATACTCTGTCACAACCTCCTCAAACTACCACAAATCAATGTCTCTCTCCCATGAAATTTCAGTTTTATCACCCTTCTTCCATTTCACCAAATACTCCATTTGATCATTCTTCTTATGATGTCCCATCCTCTGGTGATTTACGATTTTCTCAATCTCATCATCAAATTGTTTCCTAATCGTAAGAGGAGCTCTCTTAGCATGGGTCTGTGAAGAATCATCTTTATCTTCACGGAAGGATTTCAAGAAACTAACATGGAATGTGGGATGCACCTTGATTCGTTCAAGCAGTTTCAATCTATAAGCAACAACACCCACTTTGCTTAAGATCTCAAATGGTGCATCATATTTCAGCGCCAATCCCTTGTGCACTAGCTTGCTATTAATTTTCTTCCAGATTTGAGGAATGGGTTTGAGTAGCACTTGGTCACCTTCACCAAGTTCTAAAGGTCTCCTTTTAGCATTAGCATATTTCTTAATTCTTGCTTGCTAAACGCAAACTGTCTTGGGCTTGATCTATAAGCTCCTATCTATCCCTAGCCACCTTAAAAGCAGCATGAAATTTTCCCCATGCTGGCTATTTTGCAATTTCCACGAGTGTCAAAGGTTGTTGTCCCAACACCAACTTGAAGGGACTTAAATCTGTTGAAGATGATTTATGAAGATTATAGCAAAACTGTGTAGTGTCTAACAAGTCTAGCCAATTATGTTGGTTAGTTGTCACATAATGTCGAAGATATTCTTTCAATAATGTGTTTACCCACTCAATTTGACCATCCGTCAGTGGATGGTTGGCTATAAAAAAATTCAGTTCAGTTCCCATCATATTGAAAAGAGCAATCCAAAACCATTCAGTGAACCTTACCCCAAAGTACTTCACCAAATTTTTATAAAATAAAAAAGTAGCAATTGTATTAATTATATAAGCATCTGGGGCTACCATAAAAACTGCATACTTAGAAAACCTGTTTACCACAATAAGCATAGAGGACATTCCTTCTACCTTCTGAAACCCATTGATGAAATCAAAAGAGGCTGACACTGAAGACCGCTCAGGAATGGGTAGAGGCTACAACAACCCTGTCGTCTTCCCCCATTTCTGTCTTGTCTTGTTGACATACAAGACAAGTCTTTACATAGGATTTAATATCAACTTCCATCTTAGGCCAATAGTAATCCCTTGCCAACAAAGCCAAAGTTCTTTCTCTGTTGGGATGACCTGCCCATGTTGCATCATGAACTTCTTTCAACAACAATCGTCTCATTCCACCCTTGTTCGGGACATATAGTCTATCCTCTTTGGCATACAACAACTAGTCCTCCAACCAATATCGCCTTATAGTCCCCTTTCAAACATGTGTCAACAAGTCTTTGTATTCGACATCTTGTTGGGACCACTTGTAGTCTATACAACATATTGGATTCCACATGGGTTATTGCATATAGGGTAACAATCACCTCTTTTTGACTCAAGTTATTGGAAACTGGGTTACGCCTCTTGAGTTTATGTTGCCATTTGAATTCATACTCAGCTAGAAAATCTTGCCACAGGGTCTGTTTTAGGGACAACTTCTTCTGTGTTTTAAAGAAAGTGTTGGCCACATTGTCTGTTATTACAACAAATTTTGTTCCTAACAAATACACCCACCAAACTTGTAAACTATGCATAACAGCCACCATTTCCTTCTCATGAGCAGAATATTGTTGCTCTGCTGCTCTGCCTCATTCAATTTTTGGCTTTCAAAAGCAACTGGAGCCTTTCTTATACCAACACCTGACTAATAGCTTTCTTTGAAGCTTTCATATGAATTTCAAATGGTAACTCAAAATTACGCAACCTTAATACCGGTTTCGAGGCAATGACTTCCTTTAATTTATTGAAAGCCATGTCACACATGTTTCTGTCCACTCTCACTGTTACCGTTTTCTCAACAAATCTGTCAATGGTTTTGCCTTCTTAGAGTAACCTGCAATAAACTTGCGGTAATAATTTGTCAAACCCAAGAAAGATCTCAATTCAGTTATCTGTATAGGAGCTAACCATTCCACTATTGCCTGCACCCTCTTCAGATCCATTCTTACTTGGCTCTTACTCACAAAGCGCCTAAGAACATGATCTCTCGATTAGAAAATTCGCATTTCTCCGTCTTAACATATAATCAATGCTGCCTCAACCGCATCAGTACCTTTCTCAAATGAACCAAAAGTTCTTCTAAATCTTGACTATAGACGACTATATTATCCAGATATACGACCACAAAATCATACAAAAATTCATACAACATTTCATTCATTAAATTGCATAATGTAGCTGGTATATTTATCAAGCCAAACGACATGACTAAAAATTCATACAAATCATACCTTGTAACACGTGTGTTAGGAAGCGATCCATTTACGCAGCGGAAAACAAAAACTTTTAACAATACGGATCGTTCCATAGAACCAAGATCAGGGCACAAATTTACAGTTTATATGAAAATAAGAATCTGCAGAAAATTAGTTTAGAGTTTAAGAAATCATATGCACGTTTGGAGGCTCCTCTAAGTTGTCTCTGAACGTATTTTGCTACCGACCCAAGTGTAGGATCGAACCAACGTAGTCCACACGAAGATAATTGCAAGGGACTAAAGAGGGATTTGCTAGATCTTTTTTAGTCTTAAGAACAAAGAAGAAAAATCAAAGAAAAACTTTGATTCTTTGCAAAAGCAAAACTTGGCGTGAGAGTGAGAGAAAGGGGCTGTGTGTTTTCTCTCAAATGAAATATTGAAGAATGAAAATCTCTCTTACCTTTTACAATTAACCTTTTTCTTTTATAGTGAAGTTTAATTGCCCTATTCCCATATGGAATAAGCTTGGGCTTCAACCCAAACACCCCTTGTTTCCAAACACTCCCAATTAGATGTTTATTTTATTTCATCATTATTTCAATTAAAATCAATTAATATATATTTAATAGATATATTAACATTTAACAATAATGATAATTTATTTAAATATGTGCGAACACATATTTAAACGTAATTTCACTTATTTAATTTCTCTAACAAATTAAATAAAGGCTACGACTTCAGCAAATTTAATTGCACTGTGAAATTACCAAAATACCATTTTCGCCTAAAAAGATGAAAACGCCCTTCTAACTTCCTCGCTCTTAAATTATCTTCTATGTGTGTGACCCATAGGCTCCCTATCATATCGGCAGTGTGTAGTATCGTGATTAACACCAATTAATCGTCTCACTACACACATACCAAGATTGGCCTCTAGCAAGGCATCATGGCCACCCGATAGATTCAGATTCAGCAAAGTAGCTACTTGTCAACGATATGGTTACCGTACAATTTGATCCTTTCATCATCCATTATCTCGACGAGACTGGGGCATAGAAATAGTGTCAACCTACGGTTACTCTCGATATTGTGTATTCAGTTACTGGACCAATGACCTGTATTATAAACTGGATAGAACAACAACTCAATCCCACTATGGCCACAGTTTTAGTGTCATTGCCATTTACTGAATTGCGGCGTGAGATAACTTCTCCCGTACCCGGAAGCGATGAATCCTCTGTCTATCCACCATATTCTTGATACACTCCTTGATGTAGCCAATCACCACCGTATTGACAGCTCTGAATAGAATCGCATTAGGCTAGTGTCAAACTGCACCAATCGGCGTACAAGGCGCTCCGGTGATCTCAAGTCTAAGGATCACATGCACCACCATTCGTTAGAGGATTTATTCCATAGACATTGGGGTTACCATCCATATGGAATCCTTTAGTGGGTCAGTCCAGTGAACCTGCTGCGGTGTATTCGCCTATAGCAAGCACCCATGTGTTGCATTAAGTTGTCACCAAACAACCTTGACAAGTGAGATCAGTCACTGCCTTTCGACTAGGTCATTCAACACTAT